GTTGACTCTGCAGTGGGTTTTCAGGGGCAGTTAAATGCATGTGAGGAGATTGTCTAGCCACGTGTGCGTGCAAAATCATGTGATGTGTGTGTGTGTGTGTGTGAATGGAGAGAAAAAGAGTTGTTGTTGAGTACACCTCGTAGTGAGCCTGTGAGCAACCCATCTAAACCCTGCATTATCCTGTGCCATCCACACAATAGTCAAGCCCTTTGCTATATTTCACTGTGTCAGTCTATCTGGTTGAGGGGCTTCCTTTCTTTTCACCAGCCCTCCACTTTTCTAAGCAGATGTTCCTTTCCCAGGAACAGCATGACATAGCAACATTCCCAAAGTATGTGTGTGAGACAGGTCTTTGTTATTTTTGCCTCCAAGGAAAGAGATTGTGTTATTTAGAATGCAAAAGTCAATGTGTCTGAATGTCAGTAGTGCTTCTGTATGAGTAATAGGTTTTTTTTTAATTTTTGCTCATTTAAATTTTCTGTAATGAATACATACATATAGACTAACACATACATACATATATTACATATTATATATACTATATTATATATTATATATGTATATTATATATATATATATATATATGAAAAACAGTGACATTTATTATTAAGAATTAAAGTGAACTATGCAAAAGTGTTTGACTGTGTGGATCACAGCAAACTGTAGCTGACTGAGAAGAATGGGAATCCCAGAACATTTGAATGTGCTTATGTGAAACCTATACTTGAAGCAGGAGGCATTCATCAGAACAGAGCAAGGAGACACTGCATGGTTCAAAATAGGGAAGAGTGTATACCAGGGGTGTGTCCTATCTCCATATCTTTTCTCTATATGCAGAATAGATCATCTGGGAAGCTGGGCTGTGTGAGGAGGAATGTGGCATCAGTATTGGAGGAAGAGTCATCTGTTATGCATATGACACAACCCTGCTTGCTTGAAACGGAGGAGGACCTGAAGCATTTGCTCCAAAGGGTCATTGACTGCAGCTTTCAGCATGGATGGAAGCTCAACATCAAGAATACAAAGATCCTCACCAATGGGCCAATTAACAACATCATTATGAGCAGTGAAGAGACTGAAATTGTTAGCACCTTTAGTTTGCATGGCTCTACGATCAACACTCTTGGTAACAGTAGCCAGGAAATCAGGAGACAAATTGCATTGGGGAAAGTCATCTGCCAGGGACCTCTCTAGTGTACTGAAGAGCAGTGACATCAGTATGGAGACTCAAGTTTGCCTGATCCAGGCCATAGTCTTTGCAATTGCTTGCTATGTGTCAGAGAGCTGGACAGTGACTAGGGATGATAGAAAGAGAATCAATGCCTTTGAGCTGTGGTGCTGGAGAAGAGTGTTAAATATACCATGGACTGCTAGGAGAACAAATAGGTTCATCCTGTTGTTGTTATGTGCCATCGAGTCATTTCTGACTCATAGCAACCCTATGCACAACAGCTCTAAACCCTGCTCTATCCTGCGCCAACCGCACCACCTCTGACACACCCATCCCGATTACCCCAGTCACCGAATCAATCCAT